CCCCTATCATCGTATCGTGTCATCCTCACAGTTACCATACCATTACACGCAATAGTGGTCGCTAATTACCTAGAAGTTGATGCGACTTTAAATAACAAAAAAGACGTTTTATTTGTAAAGACTCGATTAGGGATCGTAGATGTGGCAATAACTGGGTCCGCCTAACTCATTATTGATTAACTTGGACCTCATTATTACTTTTCCTTCATATGCTATAGTATAGGGAGGAAAGGTATTCGAATTGACGTAACGTTCTTGATTTTTTCTAGTGTTGTACATAACCTGGTAATACATGCCTGCTTAAGAAATTCATTACGCTTTTTGCTTCGTGGTAAAATTTATCGGAATCATTTTGTTTCCAGAACGCGTACTAGGGCGGACTTTCTTCTGCCTGGGCGAAACCTAGAGTAGAGCAATCCAAAAAGGAGAAGGTTTAATGCGTGATGTTACGATGGTTGACAGATACCTTGAATCGTCTCCTTTGTCAGTTGTAGATTCTGTCATTTTGTAAAATATTGAAAGGCAGACGATATATTTGTAAATTCAATCTTTATAAGTACGCGCGTATTTTTTCTCCAAGAGTCATCTTCTCAATAAAAAAGTATGTATTCGTTTGATATAACATTGAATGGATACATCAGTATTATACACGGTTCAGTCGCATTAATGTGCCCCCCCCCGTCAAAATCCTGAATAACGTCTTTTTCTGCGCTGACCGTTGTGAGACGTGAAGGAAGAGAATCAATTAGATTCTGGATGGCACCGAGAAGGATGTGAAGTCATGCCGACTCCAGTGCCGTGGCCAGCTGCGCTAGGTTTTTCGATTGCCGATTCATATCGCAAACAGCCCGGTCGAGATGGTCCCACATATTCTCTATTGAGTTTGTATCGGGAAAGTTTGGTGGGCAGGGAGGCCTGTAAATTAATCCTGGTGCCACCATGCACATACGAGCATTGTACATATCGTATTCTTGCTATGCACGGTACACTTTAACCGCGGCGGTACGCGAACTCTTTACAAACTTACCCGTTTCGAAAATACTTCAGCCTTTGAAAGTCGCTCCGTTTCTGCATCGCGGCAACTACCGCATTGTTTTTCGCTTCCACCTGACACGCTTAATATACCCTTCACTGTTAGTAGTGGCACTTGCCATCTGTGAGGGATTATTCTACTTTTATGTCGAACATAGGCGGTAGTCACATTGACTGGACGGTACATATTGTCGTATGAGGATAACATTGTAATTAAACATATATAAATACATTTCATTCAATACGAACAGTTTTTACGCAGGTTATTGAATTATCATAATATATTATCTTTCGAAGTTCACTGATCTCGTTTGTTGCTAATAAATAAGAATAAACGATCGTATCTGACATTCGTGACCTCACTGTAACGCTCCTGTTAAATGAACTGCTTTGGTCGAATAAACATGTCGACCAAAAGCACAATAACTTAACATGGAACATAATGCAGAAAGTCCTCACATTTTCTTCCTTTCGCAGTTTCGTCTTTTTTCTGCTTATGTTTAGTAGCAATAGCAGACGACTCAGTCTTCTTCGAGAGTGCGTCGTTTCTCTAGTACGTGAGGGTAGAGGCACTGTTCACATCTGAGGCAGTAAACGATGTATCACGTGAGAATGCTCTCTAATTTAGTTGCCTATGCTCCCATGAGTTTGCTGAATTAGTTTTATTTCAACGCACCCAAGTTGAGAGGAACACTCTACTTCCTCAACAGTCAACAGGTTATTACGTGACGCAGTCAGCAGGAGCACTTTGATTATGAAGCATTTCGAGCAGCATTCCGCAGCGTAACAAACGTTCGCATTAATTATAGACCAAGAAGTTCCTCAGGATGTTCTACACGTTAACTATACGGTGTTTATGAGTGACACAGAAAAGCGGAGAGAGTGAATAGAACGACCCCCGTTTAACCCCTTTTATTTTCAAGCACGATTTGAACTATAAGGATTAATGATTTTCGAGTAATGTTTATACGTACTAATCTAGTGCCATGTACAAATGATTACTACGTCCTTCAAGATCTCATTTCTGCTATTCCCCTTCGCAAAAGGAACAGCGATTCCATCGAAATGGATTTTGAGAGTTTGCATTGCGTCAGCTGATCTTAATGGTGCAGTAGCTTTAAGCATCGTCCGAGTACGCGAAACCGGGGGCTGCGGGTTTGCGTCTTGTGAAATACAGGGTTGTTTTCACATTGTGAGTGTGACGTAATTAGCATATTAAAATGCCACATATCCCATTTGAACATCACTCCATCTATAACCTCTCTTCATTCACCCTTCATTGTCATTCTATCTTTCCTCATACAGTGGAAGCAAAGGACACGAATGTGATCAAATTACCTGCCAAGGAAACGAGAGGACCAAGGTGCCGGCTTGCTCCCTTGCGTACATTATAAAATAAGTAGTGCTTAAGGATCCGTGAGATATCAAACACACAGTTGAATAAAAAATATTTAATAGTATAAATAATTAACTATACACATGTTTTGAGAATCTAATCTGATCTTAATGGCACCATGTATGGATGTTTTTCCTCATTTCCCCGATCAACCACAGGCGAATACCGGAGTATTACCCTAATAAATGGATCACTGACTGCGCGCGATCTTTCCTTCCTCTTCCTTGTTCTATTCTTGCCCTTTACTTACGCACACACTTACGTGTACTACACGACCACAAAGGTCGGAAACCAGTCGTGAACCTAGATCTTGTCCCAGTTAGTGAGAGATATCTGGATGGGGAAAATCTTACAAGCCGACGTGTAGGTCGGCGTCAAATCTCACCATTCGGTTAAGGGAGATCACTGCGACCTCCCGTGATAAAACGTGCACTAAATTAATGGGGTTAATGATTACATCAGTAAACGCGCCCGGAAACACAAAAAATAAATCCTTCTATCGCCCAAATCTGTCTTTAGAGTAAAAGTTGACAATATTGTAAACATATTTCTTCATTCAGCTAAAAAATGCCGATGTGTCACTTTTTTCTCGCCGTCTATATGGAGTAAATCTACGAACTGACACCTTCCGAATTCCTTAAGAGCCAGTAAGCCAGGTGATTTGGCGGTCACTGATATACTAACCTCGACAAGTCTACTGTCAGCCTGGTATTACTGGCCATAACTACTAGAGTTTGCACATTTCATCTAAAGGGACTTAGTTTATCAGGAAAATGTCAGCAAAAGCAAGTATCAACAAGATAGTTTTTTGTCAGTAAAATATTAAAAAGACGTTGGTTGAGTCTGTACGTGTAATCCTACATATCATTTTCGATAAATGCAAAATTTATTTTTTTGGATTCATCCAAACTAATTACAAAAAATAAATTCATGAATAAGAAAAACACTTGTAAAAATGTTTAAAGCGTCGGAGACGTCCCAGCTTAGTCCAAAAGAAAATAAGATATATGAGGTGTTCCAGAAAATTGTTAACGAATGTTACATACAGTTCTGATGTGCATACATTTTTAACCTACACATCTTAAGTGAACCTGAAGAGGACTCCAAATCAGGAGTCAAATTATGGGAGATTCATTGTCAATATGTAAAATGTGAGTATGTAATTCACTGCGTATATGTAAATAATTATTGTCAGTGTTCATTTTTTACTTTCGTTTGTTAATATTGACATATATAGCAGCGCAAGTGGAAAATATAAAAGTATAAACAGTTCTGTTCATAACTAGTTCTTCCATTGTAGTTTTTTCCGTATAATCAAAACTCGCGATTTCCATCCCCGACAACTTGACATTTTCTGAAAATGAAAAGAAAAATAATTTCCATTTAAAATAACCTCGAAAAGTCGACAATAATTCGAGACTAATTCAAAGTTTTTAAAATGATTCGCGTGTAGATCAATCATTTAAACTTTCATATTTCAGAATTCACTATCATTACTGCAAGAATTTCTCACACGAATCCTATCAATCAAAGAAGTTTCTAGAAAAGAAAGCAATCCGGAGTATGACGTATCCTAATTTTAAACCTCTAAAACGCAAATAAATTTGCTTACATCTTCAGATGCGAAAAAGACCTATTTTAGATAGTCTATCAGTCACTTATTTATACAATGCAATCCAGGCACTAGCTAGTTTGAACAAGAGAGAGTGGTACAGATTTTTTAATGTGTACAATTATTACAGTGGCTCAATTATGTCTTATACTATTTTGTGAAGATTGCAGTGAGGTTTAAGAAACATAATTATTTCCCTAGTGTTCGGTTTAAAGAGTCTGAAGTTTGATAGTTTATCGTTTCCTTCAAACTGAATGTTTTGGAAACTCATTCCTCTGCGGACCCTTCGTGAAGATGCTCATTTGAATTCTCCACGTCCAGGCCCGGATCTGCTCACAAGCAAACACAAGCTGCTCAGAACCACCCATCATTGGGGCATCGCGCTCTCGAAAAATTTCATTACAAAAATCCACTAACTGTATTTTTTTAATATATGTTTAATTCTATAAGCAATTGGTTGTTTCATTTGTATGGGTGAAAAAAGTATTCATTTGCCATTTTTTAATCCATCTTTTGTCAGCTAGCGATGTTCCCAGGCGTGGACCCTATTTTTATTTATTATCCACGCCTGGGAACAAGGAAGTCATGTGGCGAGCATATGGAGTATTCTCTTCGCCGTATCTAGTATACTTGGCATATCTGAGCCTTTCCTTCGACATACAGCCAGAGAAACTGACACGAAAATAATGGAAAGCGACATCTCTGTTTTTATGCGGTCCGGGATGGTACAAAAAGTTATTGTTATATCATTAATGTTTTGTTGTTGTTGTTGTTTGTAATAAATTTTTTGGGGGATTTTTGTCCAGAGCGATGCCCAGAGGGACACAATTTTATGGTTAGGGGCCCAGCGGGCCTCAATCCGGCCCTGCCCTCATCGCTCTCCGTGCTTTCGCAGGAGCTCCCTCCCAGCTACGAGGAGTACTGTTCGCTGCGGCTGCACCGCGCGCACGTGCCGCAGGGCTGCGGCGGGGGCAACGAATCTCCGCGCCTACCCGCCCCGCGGCGCGCGCCGCGGTGGCCGCCGCCGCGGACCGCCGCCCCCGCGCTGGCAGCGCAGGCCGGCTTGTGGGCCAAGTGCGGCAAGCGCGCTGCGCGTCTCGCCTGCCGCCCGACGCGCCGGCCCCGGGTGGTGGCTGCGGGCAGACCGGGCAGGCGTCCACCCGCCGCCCAGCAGCGCCGACCTGCGCGTCCCGCCCTCCCGAGGCAGGCCCGTGGCCGCCCGCCGCCGGTGGCGGCGGGGGCGGACAGGCACAGATGAACGCTGTCAGCTGCCCCTGCACCAAATGCCAGGTGAGCAACGCGACGCGGCGCGGCGAGGCGCGACCCGACCGCAGGCCCAATGGCAGAGCTGGGGAGGAGCTGTCACTGCCGCGCTCGAACCGAGCGCTATTCTTGTCATGGGTGGCACAGCTCGAAGGGTCGCACACTTGTAAGCCTTCAAAGGAGGGGGCAGCACGTTTGTAAGAGTTACATGTTTGAGAGATAGCATCAATGTTTGTCGTGTTAAGTGTCAATTAATGTGTCATATTTCTTGAGGTAACGCGTTTCAAAAGTCACTATATTTGATGGGATGCCACATATAAACATAATATTATGGTTTTTTATAATGTGAATGCTGATTTCATTTAAATGTTAATTGCATATGGTCTGAAGATGGAGAAAAAATCCCGAAACCTTCTTTTCTATACATATTTTGAATTCGTGTTATCAGCTTTGCCATCTTTTCAATCTTATTAAGTGTGAAAACTTTTCAATAAATTATTTTCATGAAATGTAAACTTTATTAATTTTCACGTGTTCATGGATGTGTACTACAAAATTGTAGATTTTAAGTATATAAAGAGTTTTAGTGCCGAAAAATCGCCGTTTTCTAGCGCACGATAACAATACTTTCGCTTCTTACGAAGTTCTTGAAAGTAACAAGGAAACAATACATTTATCAAAACACACTTTTGAAAGGATTGAAGTTTTTAGGAAACACACGATCGTTCCAGTGTTGGCTCGGGCCTGTGAAGTTAGGTGAAGGGCTAATAGGGAAATATATATTTACGTGTGCTTATCTTAATAATAAATCGTTTATTTCTTAAACAACAAATCGATCCTTTAGTCCTTCAAAACTTCATACTTGTCGGGGATATCTTCATTCCTGTTTCCAAAATAACAACAGAAGAAATTACTTCTGAACAACAATATTCCTCAAAGAAGAAAATTTCTCGTCCCAAGTTGTATACTCGTACTTGAGATGTTTTTGAACGTTTCAGAGAAGAACATTTTTTACCGATAATATAGTACAGACGATGGGCAGAAAGAGGGAGAACAATTTGTAAGTGCCTTAATTGCCTAAGTGCCTAAATATGTCTTAATCCTCATCTTTTTGTTAGAAATCTGACTAAATTTTTCATCGGCATATAAAGAAGGGTTCGTTTCTTAAACGATCTGTTTTGAAGAAGATAGATCCAAATAAATTTGCAGATATTCAAGTGTGCTAACAGGAAATGATGTTTTGTATTATTCAATTTTTGTGTTATGATCAAGGCAAACAAATTTAATTGTTTCACAATAGTGAAATCTCTTATCGATTTCCATTAAAATGTGACCCAAAATTTCATTATAGATCTCTCGATAATTCAACCTCTGACACATTCAACCTCCAGCAGGGAGCAGAACTCTCTTGTGAAGTGCTAAGCGTTCACTTTGCTGGCCTTTTCAAAGATAGTAGAAAAATATTGTTAGTTCATTTTATTTCTTAGCATTTCACATGAATTTCTTATATATATATATATATATATATATATATATATATATAAACACACACTTTTCGACAGAAAAAGCCTTACTGTGGGGCCCTGGTAAGGAAAAGTGGATAACTCCTCTTCGTATATATAGTAGAATAGAACATCCTCTAACACGTGGTGTAGCCAAAATACATGTTTTGTGGGCCCTTGATACCGAATAATCGATTAACGGCAAAATGTCTCTGTCTGTGCGTCTAACTGTCCGTTTGGTTGTATGTTTGTTCGTCCGTCCGTCCGTCCGTCTGTTAGCTATTTTTTCCAAAATTATTATTCCCCGTTCGATTTAAGTGAACTCGAGGCCGTCTGAGTGTGAAAGGGATATTTTGATTTTAGAATCTACTTTATGTGAAGTCTCTACAGCATTTTCATTTTTTATTTCACTTTTACCTCGGATAGCGTAAAGGAAGATTAAGACAATGGTGTGGGCCTAATGTTCTTTGCAACCCTTGATTTTTCGAAATTGCAAAAATTCACATTTTTCCCGACGTCTTTCCACAACTGCAATATGGAAATTTTTTCCTTAGTGAAATCTGTTTTTATATAGGCCAATTTTTAAATAGCAATTACATGTAATTTTCACGTTTTTGAACAATTATTTTCTCAAAAAAGCTCCAATGTTTTATTTTAATTTTTTCTTCCTGGGAATCAAAGAACGGTAAACCTAATACTACTACGATTTCCGACTAACTCTATATATTTTCAAAAATGGCAAAAATGCACAATACTAAGATAGAAATGTCTGTCTTAAATAAATTTTGTGTTCTCAAAATAAGATCTTTAAACAAGGTTACGTAATATTTTTGAAACAACGAGTAGTTTTCGCGTAATGAATGCTTGACATTAATGCATTTTTTAAAAAGCACGTTTCATCCAAAACCTTTTCCTTCATTTTTCTCATTTAAATATCCGATTAAGCATCAATAAGAGAATAGATAGATTAAGATATTTGAGTGCTCAATCAGCAATTAAATTGAAAATTAACATACATAAGGCAAACAAATCGTCCAATTAGACAACGAATGAACGAGCATTCTAAAAGTATTAAAGTATCTTCTCCGGGGCTTAATTCTTTACTTAGACACAGACTTAATTTGTTACATGAATTTGATTTCAAGAACCCACATATTTTGAACACCGAGGTGAGGAGGTTCCCACGACTAATTTCAGAAAGCCTTTGGATTGAACTAAATCAAACTTTTAATACCATTATGGAGATGAATGATTTTACAAAGGACAATGTATTCAAGAAATTAAGAAAAATCCGGAATAATGTCAATTTTTTAGGTTGAGATTAGGTGAGTAATGTTGCCACACTGTATACTATTCATACACCGGGGTGACGTCATACTATTTGCCCGGTGCATTGCGGTGTGTCCGATTAAATTCGTTAATTCTTTTAGAACACCTTTACATAGAAAAGTTCGCAATGTGTCCTCGAGTGTTCTACTGTTGAAACTTTCTACTGGTGAAACTTACTGGTGAAACACAACGAAACAATAATTCCCTCATTAAAGTGAGTGACTCATTTAATTAATTTGTTTCGTCCTTACCATTCTGAAGTTTAAAAACAAGTGTTGATGAACATTTTATTCTTGGGTAGTAGACATGCTTAATGTTTGTGATTATTGTTTACTTAATAAACATTTGAAATATTTTAGCTAGTTTAATATGTTAATGTATTAACTTTTTCTTAAGGGACATTTGAAATAGTTTATTGATTACAGTATTCCCATAATTTTTGTAACCTGAAGATGTAACTAATCATGATACGAAACGTCGTGTAATTGCTGGTAATAAAGGATTGTCATAAAAACATTGGATACGTTTTATTAATATAAAAATATATTGACAGTCAGGTGAAGTCTATAATACTTCTTGGCTACTTAGTTTTAAAATATTTACACCATACAGATGGTAATCCATGCATTTACATCATTATTGAGATAATACCTTAGGATAACATTCTTCACATTATCTTTTCAGATACGATACATTTTTTACATTTCTTTTCAGAATCAAAGAAAAGTCAAAATCAAGTCAAATCAATGCAGGGGCAATTTTAGCATCGTCCCTAGCTTCAATATCAATAGCTCGCCTACTTTCCCCCTAGTTCATTAAAAGTCTCACGCAGAAAGTAATGCATTTATTTGCAGAGAAGTTAAGGAAAGGGAAGATTGTAGTTCTAATTCTATGTAGTTCTAATTGTAAGGATACAGACCTACATTAAGGTCGGAAAACGGGTCATTTTCTCTTAGCATTTGTGAACTGAGAAAGCAATTTTGATGTTGATTTATATTTCGTTGTTTCGCGACCATTTTGTGTTAATTTTGTTTTCTGTCAGTTTTAATTAAAACTCGCCATTGTCTACCTCCGTTCTATTGCATAACCGTTGTTTGCTGACACGTGTAGCTAAGGGCTAAAAGATCAGTTAACGTTACACCAATGCGCAAGCAGGCCCTACATCCCCTCAAAATAAATATTTAATTTAATTGATTGATTGATTGATTGATTGATTGATTGATTGATTGATTGATTGATTGATTGATTGATTGATTGGTGTTTCCGAGCGCAACAATTACTTTGAGATTAGTCCCGTAAGTGTATTGCACGTCATAACCCTAAAGGAACCCCCGCTGGAACGTGAGATCTTGTACACATCTACTTGATGGCTTGCGAAGTTCCCTTCCACTTATTTCCCCCAGCAGCGCACCGTCCCAATCAGATTATGCTCTAAGCTGCCGACAGGTCTCCGGATATGTGTGGTGGTGTCATATATGTATATTCGTCAATGTCTGTGAGTAAGGGGATAGGAGGGCACTAGGATAAATGTGGAAAATCGACCACTGTCCGCGGCCCGTTTGGAAAGGTGCAGATCGGGCATTTGCCTAGCATCTGTCGGAGGATGCACAGAAAACTGATGTATAGGCTATCCGGGACGAGCCGCGTCACTGACATGGTGGCTAACGTTTCAGCCAGCGTATTGTGGCCTTCGTCAGAGCGTACTGCTCTGAAGGATAGCCTATACAACACAAACTCCGGCCTCGGAAGCCCACGCAGCCTTCACAGAAAACTGTCGATCAAAGCAGTCGACGGCTCGAATTCTCCTGCAGACAGAGATTGAATTTGATCTAGCAGCTAGTGACGACAGTCCACCACTGTCGGGACTCAAACCCTGTGACTTCCTTGTCAGAGTTGCTCCAGGGGCAACGGTGATGCTGTCTCTGAGCCAAACTAGCCGTGTATGTTTTAATATTTGTATAAATTTGTATGTTGCGCTTTTCGAAAGACCGATTGAAATTTCCAGGAGAAACTTCGGTGAACACATGGATATTCAAATCTTTATATAATTAAAGGGATTGTGCGTATGTGTGTTAGTGTGTAGTAATGGGAGTGTTTAAAGAGTAGTTTAATTTAATCGAAAATGTGGGGGCGTTGTTCATTATGATTTGTTCGTTTTTGACGACTCAAACGCTCCTGAACTCTACGCAATCCACCGCACAGTTAAGAAATAAGCGCGTTTTCACTGCTTTCTACCCCCCCCCCCCCGATTGTGAAATAGCGGCCGGAAATATTGCTTGAATCTTGGACAAGTAAACCAAACTTCTTCAAGATAATGTCATAGAGAACGCATGCCCAAATTTCAGGGAGAACGTTTTAACGATAGGATACCTGACAACCAACCAGGACACAGAACAAACATATACTTGCGAGAAAGTCTTTCTTCAAGTAGAATATTTGCACAGCATAGCATAAAACGTGATTAACAATCACGTGACTAGTAGCGTGTAATGTGTAATACATTGCAATAACGAAGCATTACCAGATCTACTAGAAGATATATAATTAGAAGTAAAAGAAGTTACTTTCAAGTTCAGAGTAGGAGTTGGTGGCATACGTTTAAAGCTGAAGTCTGAGACTAACGAGACCATAACGAAAAGGCTAATGATAATAAAAAAGAATAACGAGAAGGCGGCAAAAATTAGAAATACGATGTACGTAAAGTTGAATACTTATAAAAGATACACCGCCGCACATCCGTTGAAATTCTTTATTCAAACACTTCCGGCAGAGGAAACCTATAAATTTATTGGTTCGCATAATCACCGCACCTCTACTGTCTTCAAACTTCAAAACCCATACATTACAATCCTACGTTGCAATCTGCAATAACAGTAAATGTAATTCTGACGACTCATTTAATAAAAATACTTGTTAGTAATTCACTTTATTGTTGTTTTACAATTTAATTCCAATTGAATCACAATGTGAATATGTTTGATTCCTTTTAAATGTGTATACTTTCATGAGAAGTTTCCTTCATGAATACTTCATTTGAAGTCCGCGCGCAACGGACTGGGTTTAGTTGACGTCAATAATAAGTACTTTCTTTACATGTTTTAAAACTAGGATACAGAACAACTTCCCTTCATTAAAGTAACTCTTCGTGCCCTAGAAGTCTGCCAAGATTAGTCTCCCTAGACACCGAACTTGATTTATGTGAAGATAAAACTATAATAGAAGAATTTTTTTAAAACAATATCAATGCTGAATTAGCCAACCTGGATGGCCGAGGTGGCTAAGAAGGTCTACCGACTCAGTGGTTCGTTCTGAAGGATCACGAGTTATAGTCTCGCCTTAGGCATGGTTGTTTGTCTCTCATGTACGTTTTGACGCGGAGGGCCTCGCGTTCTGCTGACCCCAGATCAGAGGACCCTGCGAGTGTGTTGGTGTCTAGTACGGTCGAATATGTAACCCATCGGGACGTAAAGGGTAACCTGCCGGCTGGAAAAAAGCCCTAGAAAAATATTCAATTAATGTTATTAATTTTTCAGTCAAGATATGGTGGCAACAGCAACCAGACTGATTCAAGCAATGACCTGCTGTTCTCCCTTGATACCACCACCGCCATGCAAGGTGTCCTGACGGATGGAATAGCATTGTGCTGCACAATGTGAGCAATACAGTGTCATTCTGGTACGTATCTGAAATTTTCGTGACATAGATTCATGACGTAATAATTACAATAACGCATAATCTCTGAAAATCTTGTCTTGTACAATTATGTTTATAATGTTCCTCATCCTTAACGAATTTTTGAAATAGTTCACCCATTTTCACACGCCAAGCAAGACATCCACATCTGGAGAATAGAAGTTCCTTGAACATTCTTAGTCTTCTAGATGGAAATTTTAAGTGCTGGAAATTTCAACCCATTTTCTAGTGATTACCTGTAATCTAATGCTCCACAGAAAGGTTGTGTAAAGGATATAGAATAAGAGAGTGAAAAGTGTCCGCAAACCAAATTGACAATCTTGATACACGGACGAAAGAGAATAAAAAATGTATATTCCCCCAAAATCAGCCTCCTAGGGCAATCTGTTGCAGAGATACAACGAGAAACGTGTTTTTCATGTTGTTGTTTTTCTCAGCTTCTATTGCATGTATCAGGTTCAAAAAATTGGAGAGACGGAGAAAAATAGTTGAATTTGAAAGTGTTTTTGTGAACCCGTTAGGAGCTTAATTCTAATTATTTGTTTAAAATTTATCTTCTACATGATAACGTTAGATTACTGTCTCAGGTTTTCCCCTAAAATGTGTCTCATAACATTCTCCACCATAGATTTTATCAGGTTTTTAAACAATATGGACGATAGTGAAAAATAATTAAAACCAATTTACTAGCGCCAAAACCATGCGTAGGATTTTTTTTTCAATTGAAGAAACCCGTGTCGATCTAGCTGGAGTCGAATCTTTTAGATTTTCAAAAAAAAAAAATTAAATTTGAGGTACTTTACATGAAGCACCCCCCGCATATATTCAAAATTTACTCAAAAACCGCTCCATTTTTTTCTTTAAATTTCTTGTAAGAATAGAGTAATATACACTTATTAGCGTGAATAGGTCCGATTTTCACGGTTAACTTTGAATTTTCGAAAATTTCAAAAGTATCAATTTTTTTCGGTGTCTTCCTACAACTACAGAATTGAAGAACTACAGAATAGATTTTTCCTTCAAATAAAATTTGTTCTCTTGCCTTTTTATATATAAATGCTGTGTTGTTCTGTTAATATAATATACGTTGACCTGTTACAGATGTTAATAAATGTGGCCTAATTGCTTCTATTTCTTATTTTTCAGTAAACGTTGCAGCCCACTTTTGGACAACTGTTTCATTTGCTCATTATTAAAATCGTTGGCAGCTATTTGATTATTAAAATCATCATCATGACATGAATTAATTTCTCTGCCCTTTTTGATAAATAAATAGAGATATTGTCAGGTATCAATATTGATACCTGACAATATCTCTATTTATTTATCAAAATAAAAAAGGTATCTACTTCACCAACAATCCAATTAATAATTCTCTGCCCTTGTCGCATCAGGAATTTAATTAACTTATACTCTATAAACATATGTCCTTGAGCACTATCTTAGGGAACCTACAGCAAATCATGAGTAGCAAACGTGACGAAAGTACTAATAAAAAGAATTATGTTTTCAAAGAACTCTCCATCAGGAAGTGGACGATCAGCATCTTCCATTATTCTTCCATGTACTTCCTTGTATTGCCATGTATAGGAGAGTCATTCTGGGAGTAAAAAAGCAAACCCAGTGTGTTCTTCATAACGAGAAGAACTCGTCGTATGTCTGACAAACACTTCTTCGCTGCATATCTGTTTGTTGATATTTTTTTTTCATAACGTCCAGATGCTTTTCCTTATGTGAGTCATTCCACGTCAAATCATACAAACAATTTAAGTAAAATTTGACCTACATTTTTGACTATTTGTTTAAAGAGTATAGGCAAAAATATGAAACGTCTGTTTTCAATTTTATATGTATTTGCTACCATGTATTATTTGTAAGTATCTATTTGCTTTTTACTTATTGTTTGGGTTATTTCGCGGAGAAACGATTATTGACCACAGTTTGGCCGTAGTTTTCGCACCCCTGTATTCTATGGAGGCTTCTTTCCAAGCCTAGCCTCAGCGCGGGACTAGAGGACCTTCTTCGTGCAGGCGAATCCCGTGCGTGTCCCCTTGAGCGCCTGGGTATCATTCCAACCTCCGCCAGTTATACCCAAACAACTATACCCGAACTCTCTGGTTGGGAGAGAGATTTTGTTAGGACGGGAAATTTCCGGAGAGTTTTAATTTTGTCGGGCACTTGCCAGACTTCTTATACATTCAATCAGCATCACATTTATGGCTAATGTGGGAGTTTTCGCCCTTCGAAAATGCGCGCTACCTCAATCGGGGTCGAACCCTCATTCTAGGGAGTTTAGAGCTCAGTAAACAGACTACTCACTCACTCAGGCGCACTGAGTATTTTCTCTACTTCTACTACTTTTCCTTCTTTTCCTACTACTCGTACATATTATCATTTCACTGTGGAAATAGATCTCTTTCTATGTCCTAACAAAACCAATCAGTGATTGTCTCTAAGATATTCTGAGGATACCACTGTTCTACAATAATTTTTAAGTTATAGAGGTAATGTTCTTCACGTTATCATCAGCCCACTGAAATAGCTATCTGGTAAATCAATAGTTTCCTCATAAGGGTGAAATCAAGCTTTCATAGATTATTTCACTCAAGAGCCATTAACCAATGAGGTTCAACAATTCCATTCATCTCTAGCAATCAGAGGAATTATACCGGAGTAATTTTATCATTTTTCGTTTTATCACTTTCGTTTTATTGTAGCGACGTGCACTTTTTTATTTTTACTATTATTTTTTTGCAACATGGCTGAGATAAGGCGATTCGTCAGAACTTCAGAAAAAGAAATCGAACAAATTATTACACAGCCTTAACATATATTAAACAATGTCTTAACAATACTACACGAGAAAATATGCAAATATATGATTACCTTGCTTATTTTTGACCTAGAAACCAGGGTTCACCTCTTCCGGGGTGCAAAATACTTCACACACGCTCAGCGCTTGACAGAATAAACAACATTGAGTTAACTTCATGTATAAACTAGTAACAGAGTAACCAACATAATACGTAATTCTAAGAGCAGTAACATTAGTACACTTTTCTTCTGCAGAGGTAGCTCCAATGTAAAACCATCTCAAGGTACAACCCATTCCCCTACATAACCTTAGTATAAATCCAGTGTATCTTTATAAATTGAATAAAGCAATTGGAAAAATGGTGAAAGCAAGTAAACACGAACCGTCTCTTTCTCACTCCTAATCATGCTTATATAAATCTAACTTATGGTTAGATTTATAATGTGCAAATATTGTCCTTTTGGGCAGAACGAAATATCAAAATCGACCATTTTTCCACTCAGAAGTCTGGTTTGGATACAAACAGTAAAACAATGATCAGCTGATCACTCTAGTAGCTCGACGATATTGCCGAATAACCTCACGTCGGGATACAGGAACAAGAAGACACTAACAATATCAATTATTTTCTTTAAAAAAACTAAGGGTAGAATGTCGTCCGACGCTTCCATCTGCGACTTTGTGCGTGGTTCTGCGTTTCATAGCAAGTCTCAACCTGGATTTGCGTTAGGACGTCGTATCATTGAAGCGAGCGTAGAGCGAGAGGCCAGCTACTTGCTCCGGTCAAAAAAACATTTTTTCTTTGAGTCCTATTTTGAAATGTGGCAGATAGATACAACGTTAGAGAATAAATACGCAAGTTTTTTAATCAAGCGTCGGCCTAATGTGAAATTTTTTATTTTAAAAATTAAAATCTACATTAAATACGTTCACAAAACTTATATTTACATCATATGAAATTTCATATTTATGAATTTAATGTAAGTATAATTTATTTTTCTCTGGGAAATGGACGATGCGTAAACAATGTGCTCATGGATTAATTAATTGGGAGAATGGGTTCGAAGGTAGACTTTTTTCCGAAAAAATAATAGGTAATATTTCTGAAAAAAGTGAGATAAATGAAAACCTACATGTTACCTATTTTCAACCTAGAACTCATAAAGAGGTATCAAGTGACAAAATAGTGATGTTGTATGAATTTTTGATTTGATGTGGAATGACTCGCGTTATTATAGTGAGATAAATCAGTAAGCACAGTGCTTACTATCACCTGAGCAGGCGCGGCTCGGCATTAAAGGCGGTAAGGCGGAGCCTCTCCTATAGAAATCGCCCCCAAAAGAAATTTAAAAATATATTTATGAATATATTTATTTATTAATAATAAATTTCCTAGTTATAGTATGTAACTATAATTTCAAAATGTTTCTGTCACTTTGATAACAGCCGTCCGTAACGTACTTGAAGCTGTTAACAGGGAAGAGACAAGTGTTAGGCTCCCTCTTCATTCCGCCATAAGGCCTCTGTAAAACTAGGATACGTGACGTCAGTCATTCATAGCACAGGCTTACCGGCGGACGAAGCGTGCGGCCAAGTAGCTTTCAAGGGTGGGGGGTAGGGTCTGAAGAAGAGCGTTCTCACCAGATAGTATTACTATGCGCTCAGCGAGTAGCATTGAGCACCAACTAGGTTTCTCAATATGCGGCAGGAATGCTATTCCCTTATGCCTGTATCAGAAGAGATTATGTAAAGAAATACAATGCATGCAAATCAATGCAATGCATATGCAGCCTTCCCCATTTAGAAAACCACGAGCCGCGACTGCGCCCAAGAGAAAATATTTGTTCTTATTCAAGGATGCCAAAAGAGTATTTGAAATGAATGGAATTGATAAATGGATGATGATAATCGTGTATCGAACGGGACTGGAGAACGATAAACTTCTGTGAATGTGAAGGTTATGTTTATCAGCGGTGTTTCGTCCCTCGAAAATGTGCAGTTTTTTTAAGCGATGTTCTAGTGAGATACAAACCGCGTCCGAATTCGTAAACCACGCAAAATACTTTCGACGGGTATCTGTGCCCCTCAAATGAATTAATTAATTGGGAGAATGGGTTCTAAGGGAATTAACTGTTGCTAATATTACGAGGGAACACACTGTTTTTTTTTAGATCCGAAATGACTCGTCATGTGTAAATGCACATGATTTTTATGCATATGAAGAAGAGATCAGCAAATGCAACGAAAAAAGTATTCTCATATCATAGATATTGTGAAATTATTTAAATACTGTATGCTGCTACGGAACTCTGTCAGATTAATTTCTTGATATAAATCACAGAAAATAATGATTGAAATTAATTCTTTTTGTATGCTATTAAATACGATTATGAATTTATACGGTGATATGTGGCTAGGCCAAAGTCCTTAAAGTCTTTACAATGCCTGAAATTATGCTATATGGAGCCTCACATATACGCTAAGCATTCTTAAATTGGAGGGGAACTTATGCTACTTGTACTCACTGTTGGTCTCTGAAAAAAGATTTTGCTGTCAAAAGAAAGGGATGTAAGTATAATTGGCTCTGTGGAAAAAAACACTGCATAAGTTTCCACATACAACGAATGAAATAATTGTGCTATTGCAAGCAGGTAATGCCAACATCTCATTGAAAATTCAATAATATAATTTATTCGGAATTGCGATAGTATTTCCAGGTGTTTATTTGAATGTATTAATTTTGTGTAAATGTATTCAGTTCACTCATTCATTGAATAATAATTTTCTTAGTATTTTGAACAGGTTATGTTATTCACTATTTATATAATAGTAATGAATAAATCCAACATGGAGTATTTTAAAGCATTACGCATTGATCAGCTGGCTATTTGGAAATTTGCTACCGAATACTAGACTTTATTATTAGTATTCCATTGGATTCATTAATTTATAAAATACATGTACTGTATTAATCAAATAAAAACCAATGTGCAAGCAAGTTATAGGCTGCAATTCTAACAGGGCCTAATACGCGATGGTAATATAATATTCTTCTGCACCTGGGTTATGAAACCTACAGTTGTAAACAATATTTAAAGAGTGTTACTTAGGCTATACTTAATACTTCGTCTATACCGAACATTTTTACTGAAATTTTTATGAACACATAAAATAGACTATGAAATATTCCATAACATGAATTCATAACATAATATGGGCTTTACGAGTTTGAGCCACGTGCCTGAGAAAGTCTTAACTATTAAACACTAGCGCATTAGCACACTGAAAAGCGCTTTGAGGACTAAATCCTCCATATTTGGCGTGAAAGAACTAATAATATTAGCCATGCCTCAACAGAAAATATATTTTCTGTAAGTACTACAATGAAATAATGTGCAAACATTAAACTGATACAAAAAAGCATTACAATTTCGCATTCATTATTTTCTTCACGTCCGACATTTCTATTTTTTC